AATGATTTTCTCAACTCAAAATAAATTTTTAAAGTTAAAAAATTGTAGTTTAATATTGATGGGTTTTTGCCATCCGTTGAAACTTTTGCCACCTGTCAAAACTTTTGCCACCCGTCGAAACTTTTGTCAACCGTCGAAACTTTTGCTACCCGTCGAAACTTTCGCAGTTTTACCTTTAAGAAAAAAATTTGGCAAAACGTTTCGATGGGTTTCGATTTCAATGCCTGTTAAAACCTCCGGATTTTACCCGGAAACCTTATAGTTAATCTTTTTAATGATCATTTATCAGAATATTAAGGTATCAGATTATCAGGACATCAGGCTATTAAGGTATCAGATTGTTAAGATACTAGTATAATAAAATATTTAAAATATCAGGCTAACTTAATTATTTTTTTTTATATATATCAAGCTAAAAATCCTTAAACAGTTTAATATTTATGTTCACACTTGTGATATTTCTTTGATTTACATTCCTTTTGAAATTCTCCTTTTTACACTTTTGTAATATTTCAATTTCACTATTTTAACTTTATAATTTCACATTTGTAATTTTTTTATTGATTTTAATTTTAATTTCTAATTTATTAGTATTTTTTTATAATTCAATTTTAAGTAATAATTTTTGTAATTTACGTAGTTTAATTATTATAATTTAATATTTGATATAAATAGAGTTTAAAAAATTGATTAAGCAAAAATGTAGAACGCTAAAATTGAGGCAACACTGATTTATTTGATAATATTAAATAAATATTCTATTATTGTTACTTCATTTTTACTCAATAAAAACCTTCTGCTTACATTTAAAATTATTATAAATATATAAACAAAAGAACTGAATATAATAATATAACAAAATCTTTTCTATATATCAAATTCTCAAATTGTTTATCAATAATATATTAGGTATTCTCTTCTAATTTTTGTTTCTTTGAAATATCAAATTTTTCATCTATATATTTAAAATTACATTTCAAATAATCCACTTTGTAAATTAACTATAAAGGATTGAATAAGATTATTTGAAAAAAGAAAAATAGATCTAAAACAAAATTAAAATGATTATTAAATAATTAGCTATTAATATTTAATAACATTTTAAAACCTTTTAGCTAAACTAACATATACAATATTGTTAATTATGCAGTATTATTGTATTACTTAAAATATAATAATAGACTTTAAAAGTAAAATATACACTTTTCTTTTATTACCTGATATCACCAATTTGCCAGTCTATTTTAATAGAACTTGAAGGTTCAGATATTGATATATTACTAATCAAATAAATGAAATGTCAGTTTTAAAATAACTGATCAGTTTAAACAGCCATATCCTAGCTGATTTTCTACAATACTTCATTGCCAAAGTTCTAATAGAACTATTAGATTATTCATTGTTTATTATATTTCAAAGTTATAATTTATTCTATTCCAAAGCTATCTAAAATACGCAATTAAAAAACTTATTTATTTTTATTTTGTATATAATAATATCTGTTCTGTTGAAAAATTATACATATAATTAGCTTATCAATAACATTTTTACCATTATGAGGATATTAACATTACAACAAATTTAAGATTAAGAATAACTTGATAGTTCTTAAGAAAATGATTGTAGTTAGAGATTTAAACAAACTAAAATCATTACAAAATACAAAATATAGTTATCCTATTTTCTATTTGATTAACATATCTCAGAGATGCTTTAAAACTAGCTTCGTATTATTATTTATTGATACTTTCAGTTTGCTGATATCAAACAAAGAATTCTAGAATTTATTTTTGTGATAAGTTTAAGTACGCTGATAAGCTTGAGAAATTTTAAAATAAGCTTGAAATATATAATTAAAATGTTATATTGGTTGATCTTCCATTAAAGATTTTAATTTAGAAAGTATCAGAAGAGTTCCATTCTTACCAAATACCAGAAGTTTAGGTAAACTTTATGACCTATAATATAATCACTCAAGTTTAATAGACCAAGTAAAGTAGAGTCAAATGTTATAAATTATAGCTTACTTTATATATACACTAAAGATATCCATCATTTGGTAAACTGAATAGAGAAACTATCAAGCTGAAACATTTAACATAATATTTATAGTTTAATGAAGTATTTTTAAATGAAGGTGATTACTGCAATGATTTAGTATTGAATTGTAAGCTTGATGAAAAGAAATAAATTGATTCAAACCTTGCAAGTAACTTATGATGCTTAAAAGGGTTGATATCTGTGACGATAACACAATTAGTTAAATATTAGAAGAACTAGAGTATTTAACTTTCTATTAGATCAAATATCCCTTAAATGACATCTTTTTTATTGTGAATATTAATAAAAAAAAAAAATATAAATGTGTTGAAAAAGTGAAAAAAGTAGTTTGTTAAAAACGAGATAAAATTGTAAATATTATACATGTTAAAAAATGTTTAAAATTTAAAAGAAAAAATTTTCTAATAACTAAACGAAGGTTTTACTACTGAATGATGTCTTTTTTGAATTTTCCGCACCTTTCCGATGCATCTTTACAAAATTTTAATTTAAATTTGGATAGTCAATGAATATAATTTGTTAATGATTTGTTAATGATTCGTTAATGTGAAAAACCAATTAAAAGGATGGGAGATGTGATTTTTAATTTGGGTGATCAATAATAAATTAACTGTTTAATTTATCTGGTTATCCGGTTTAACCAGTTCCAACCCTAATAGTTATTTAGAGATCATAAAGATCACACGACTACAGTTCTTCACGAAAAATGCATAGAAAAATCTTGATCAAACTGATCATTACTAACATAATTCACTCATATACATGAAAACTTTATTATTATGGTTTAAGAGGCCATATTAATTTGAATCCATATTTTTAACATCCCATCAAAATCGTAATGCTAATATTTATTTAATATATGGGAGGTTTGCTATTAAAATCGAGTTACGAACATAGTAAATCATATGATCTGTAATGTGATTTTAATAGCTTACCTTCCATATATTGAAATTAAGCATGTTATGAACTGCCATAATTAATTTAATCATCATTCTCATGCAAAATTGAACTCCAAATTTTGGATAATGCTGTCAATACACTTTGTCGTCCATTTGGCTCTGTAAGATCGAACCCAGCTCTCAAATAATTATTAGCTGGCCATCTTTGAATCTTTACTGACTGTCATTTCGGTAGGCCTTTATCAAGCTCCACTAGATACCTTGCAGAAATCTGAACTTTATGAAAAGTAACGTACGTAGAGATTACATGAACTACCCATAATATTTGATCTGTATATTTCAGTTTGCAAGAACCTCTGCAGAGATCTGCATTTCCCCATATCCAGTACTTGATCCAACATTTTTCAAATGATTGTCCTGTAAAAAAGGTTGTTTGAGTCAAAAAAAATAATATCCGTAAAAATAGTAAACATCAATAACAGACCTCGACTACAAGAATAGAAAATTTTCAATATTTTCATCTTCCATATTTATTACAAATTCAGGATTCAATGATACGCAACGATCATCATCAATGTATAATTTGCATAACGAGTGATTACTAGATTTACAAATTGCACTTTAGAAAGTATTGTATTTATTTATCAAAAAACAGAAGTCGAAGAAAGTTGAAGCTATCTGATGCTATGCTAAAGTGCCAGTCATTCAGCTCAGCGATACGAAGTAGGTCATCTATGAGTGTACTTGTAGTTTTTTCGGTTGTACCTATTAACTGATATAACGTCAGTTAATAGGTACAACTAGGGATGGGAACTGTTCTGTCGGTTTCCTCTTCAGTTCTAATTCGACTCTTCTTAATTAAATTAAACTTTGAGCGTTAAGTTAAATTTATACTAATAGAGCATCATGTAATGATCAATTTAAAAAAAATTTTTGACTGGTTATCAAACAAATTCGTCCTATTATTACCTTTAATTTGATGACAATCTGATTTTGAGCTGACTCTTGGAACTGGCCCAGAGTCGGTTCCGGTTCGATTTTTAAAATTGATTAAAAATGGTTTGTAACTCAAAATATGTTGAATTTATAATCGGTTCCAGAACTGACTCAGAGTCGCTCTTTTTGAACCATCCCCATCCCTAACTGAATACCATTCGATACAACCTTATGCAATTTCTTAAAGAACGTTCGAACTTTTACATCCGTAAGTCTGGCGATAGTTGCAACACAGAATCTTAAATTTGAAAGTATTTCACCGTTGATATTAGGCTGAATATACATGTCTGGAATGGTAACTGTAAAAATACTTAAATTATGAATATTAGGATCACAGAGAGAATTGCTAGTACAATGTAGCTCATACCTTCAACATCAGGAATAACAGCATTCTCGGCTGGGACTTCACAGAAGTTCACTCTTAATGCCTTCATAACTTTTGTTTTGAATTGGGGTGCCAAAGAGGGCAGGTCCTCAATGTCAAAACAAGAATTGAAAGTGGAAATAAGCCCAAGGTTACGAATGGCGCTTGCAAGATCTGAATCTTGACCGGAAATACGTTCTGACCGTTGTTTAAAGCTTTCGAATTTTTTTCGTTTCTGAGAGGCTATTTGTTTTATGAAGGTTTTGTGCAGTCTCTCTCAGAGAACTCTCGCTCTCATTTTCATATTTTCATTTCTTTGAAACCTTTTGTGTGATTTTTGCTAGAGAACTCTCACTTTCACTTTCGACATTTTTGTAGTACTTTTTGGATGACTCTCACTTTCGATATTTTTTTTATTTCTTCTATTTTTTTTCTTTTTTCGAAGACATCCCGTAAAATTGTGAAGCTATCGTGAGAAACGAAAAGTACACAATTTATTGGAGAAAAAATTTTTTTCACATAGCAATGACTGATTTAAAGCATGATCTTTGTGTGACTGACGTAATATATTAGTTATTGCCTTCGGGGTGACCTCCAATAACTATTATAAAAATATCAGCCAATCATCTTAATGAAAATCGATCAGCAGTAACAGATAATAAGTTATAAAAAGTCTATTATATTTGATATTTAGCCGTTGGCAAAAAACATCAGTCCCATCAAAATCAGCATGATCCTAATAGACTAGCTATTAAATTGATATAACGATACTATGATTGATATAGCGAATTTCGCGACACGTAAAATAAAGAAAATATTCTTATAAAATGAAAAAAACATATCCGAAAAAAAAAATATCAAAAATTAATTATTCGCTAATTAAAACAAAAAATTTTCGATTGTAATTATTTTTAAAGTGCTGTACTTCATACTTTTAAATGCGGTAAGATCTATATACCTTAACAATATTTATTATTTTTACATTCTGTTTTTTTATTATAAGTTATAACAATGTCTAATAGTAATTATAAAGGTATTAAATAATATTTTCACCAAACAAGAAAAGGAAATAAAAAATATGAAGCTTCGTATGACTAAAAAATGAATTAATTTATTTAGAGCCAGTTTCGGATGTTAAAGGTAATACATGTATTATTAACCACATTCTAATTCGTTAATTATACTCATTCTTGTTTGCTAAAAATTAAATTTTATCAAATTTGAATGTAGAACCAGTTTTAGATACTCCTACATTGAAAGAATTAAATGGTAATAAACTTTATTTATCTATTATTTACTTATATAATTATTAATAATTAATAATTTTTTTTTAAAAAAAATTAATGATTATAATACTTAGATTGTAAACTATTTAACTTTTATTATATTTTAATTTATATAAATTAAATTTAATTAAACTATTATTTAAAAAAATATTTAGTAATCAATAATATTATAGGGAGTAAGTGATTTATTTTTTATGTTTTAATTTAAATTTAATATATTATATAAAAATTTTTAATGATAATTAATAGATTATATAGAAGCATTACAAATGATCTTAAATATTAATAAAGATACTAGATACTTACATAATCATATTGCACTATTAGTAGCAGATTGGCTTAGACAATTATTTGTTTATAAAGCAATAACAAATTTATATAAAACAAATTCACAATATTCAATATCACTTAAGATTAATTCATTCATTCTAATTTTAGGACCTCTTCATGTTTCTCTAAATAGTAAAGAATAAAGATGTTCACCACCATTAAAAAAATAATGCAATTGAGTTGCAACTTGTGGTGTAATTAAATTTTTTTATGGCACAATTAAGTTGCAACTCAATTGAAATTTGAAAATAATTATGGGAACCATCTTTAGTAAAGAACATGTATTAATTATATATTATACTTTCTTTCAAAACTGTTTCATTTTGTATTTAATAAAAGAAAGGTATTAGTAAAGAAATCTAAACCTTAAAGAATAAATTTACTACTAAATTTAGCATATAATGAATGGTATAAAATTAGAGATACTATTATAACAAAATTTGAAAATACCTGTAAAAATATTGAATATTATATAGTTATTGATCTATTAGATAATATAATTCTAGTAACTTTGAATATGTATTCAATTCTATTTTAATTAAGCTCATTTAATAAGTATTTAAAAATAATTTTTTAAATATGAACATTTGCATTTTGATGGAAAAGGTATAATTACAATAAAGTATCATTGGTCTTCTTATCAGACATTTTTTATTGGCAAGATATAAATCATCCTTTTGCTAAAGCTGTAAAATTATTTTTAGTAAACTTTAACAATTATTATGTTAAAAATATGTATAGTAAAATAAGAACTCACACACCTGTAAATAATAATATTAATAATATTATAAAACAAGTTTATATGATTTGTATTTTTTTTCTATTTGCTTATTTTATATAATATACATTTGTAATATTATCTGATTTTATATGATTGTATTAGATATACGAAATCATTATAAACTTAAAGATACTTTTCAAAAATCTAAGACATATCCTTACAAGCTATTGGTATTAGACATTCTAACAAAAAAAAACATTATTGTTTTTATTAGACTATTTTAAAGAAATTTTTAAGAATTGTAAAAAAAAGTAAATTATATAAATCAAAAAAAAGATATAATATCAATTAGCTATTTTAAAAGAGACCATTGATTCAAGATGCCTTCTAGTAGAATATAGTGCTAATATAATCTCATTACCAGATTTTTGTAATCATTGCCATAAAAAAATTTGATAAAGGTGAAGTATTAATCTGTAAGCATGGTTATCATTCTAAATATTATTAAATAATAGAATGTAAATGTCAACATTATGAGAAATATAAACATAGAATTTATAGCAATGTGAATTCTTTTTTAGATCGATTAGGAAAAGGTTCAAATATTCTTATCTTTAATAAATAAGATGTAACTCTAATAGAAAAAGAAAATGAGACAGTGAAAAAATAGAAGCAAATAGGAGTCAAGAAATGCATATAGAATTTATAAATGTACTTAGTCATATTAAAATTTAATTATATTATCCATAATATAATAAATAAAGTTCTTATTAGATTAATAAAGAACTTTATTTTAAAGAATTTAAAATAAATTTTAATTTTTTAAAATTAAATATTCTTTTTAGTATAACTTTTAAAATTTTAGTTTAAATTTACTAAGGTTATCGATATATTTCTTTAATTAAAGAAAATACTTTATATAAATCTTTCTGAAACATCAGATGTTATTGGATATTGTTGACTTTAGAGAAGAAAATAGCTTTAGAGAACAATTTTGCAAAGTTTTGTTATATATTACTTAGTAATATTTGTGGCTTATCATATGGTCGATCATAATTTAATTAGATTCTATTATAAAATACATATAAATAATTGTGTAATGATGATCATTAAATTTAGACTTTTCCTATGTTTCACAAAAGATTATGGCTTCTTATTTGTCACCATTTATATCACATGATACATGCTATGCAGATCATTTTCTTTTTGGTGATACCCGTTCTAAATTTTCATTTTTAGTAATTTTTATTATTATACATAAATCTATTATGTAACATAAGTTTCTAAATATGAAACTGATTGCCATATTAGGATATGATCAATATTTTGACTATCGTAATTAATTTTAATCTCGTAATGTATTTTGAACCTTATAATTGATTTTAACTCTCATAATGTATTTTGACCCTCGTAATGTATTTTAACCTTTGCAATTAATTTTAACCCTCATAATGTATTTTGACCTTCGCATCATTCTTATTAGATATAATTATAGTATGATAATAATTAGCAAAGGATCTAACGGCCTTTAGGGATTTTTATGTGCATCAAGATAGAGTAGCTGGTGCGCTATTATGGTTAAAACAAAATAATAAATTCTACAATGATATAATTATCGATAATGAAATCCTCCTTTCATTACCTAAAAATGGATCTATTGCTCATTTGTTTTCTTAGATTCAGGATGATTAAATTCTAAACGAGAGATTAGTTAACAATGAAAATAATGAGGATAAAATAATAAGTATATTTATACCTTTACTTTTAAATACGAATCAGAAAAATGTTACCATAAATGATACACTTGATCATATGCAAAGCAATAATAATACATTATTATGGTCAGAGATCAAAGGTATTCTTATAAATGAATTTCAAATACCTGGTTATATGGTAAGAGTATTTTTAACTCTTTATCCACATGGTCAAGCTGACCTTAGATCAAAATGCGCTAGAAAAGTTAAGCTTGCAGAGTATTTTAAATACCTTCTATGATATAAAAATGAAAGGTTTGGCAGACATGCACGTTAGAATTGTTTTGCTCTAAATTCATTGATGAGATGGTAGGCTTTGCAAGAAGGAGTAGTATTTGTTAAGCAAAATCTTAATGATAATCAGATAGATGTTACAGATATACAAGAAATGATCTCTAATAGTGACAAACAACTAGCAGATAGGATAATGAGATATAGAGAAAGCTTACGTGATTCACAGCAATTTTAGATGATAAGACGATATAAATTATTTGATATGATTAAATAAATAGGACATCAAGGATTATTGTTTTTTACTTTTAATGCAGCAGATTTACATTGGCCTGAATTGCACAAACTAATGCCTGAAGATGAATATTCTGGTGATAAGTCAATCTCAGTAAAAAAGCGTCAACAGAATCTTATTGAAAATTCACATATAGCAACCTAGTTCTTTAATAAATGCTTTGAAGAATTTTTTAAGAATGTGTTAAAATCACATTAGGATCTAGAAAATTGGTGATATCAGTTCAAGTGGCAATATCATGGGAGTGTACATATACATAGCATAAGAAAGAGGCAGAATGCGCCTATTATTGATTGGAATCAAATGAAGAAAAATGAAAACTTGATGAGTAATGGTATTTAATATATTGATTCAATTATTATAACAATTAATCCAAACATTTTTGCATCTATACCCAAAAGACATCTTTATCAAAAAGTAGTGATAAAATTGTTGATGATACTTAAGATTATATTAAATTAATTAACAAACTACAACAGCATACATATTGTAGTATATCGTATTATCTTTGAGTTAAACAAAATGGTCAAACATTATACAGATTCAGATATCCAAAGGAAAATAATGATCATACTTTCATACGTAATGTTAATTATAGTTAGCCTAAGCTGGTAATAGCTAGAAATAATCTATATATTAATTCACATAACTGACTTTAATTGCAAGATTAGCGAGCTAACGTTGACTTAAAACCAATTCTTAGTATTTATACGGCTTTGCAGTATATATCAAAATATACAAGCAAAGCAGAAC